CTCATCCCTTAATTACTAACCAATAACCAAGGTATGCAAATGGCATATAACTCGATCCAATGAACCCGCTCGAAAATAAAATCTCAACCGCTAATGATGCAGAACCATAACAATATAATCATGCACAAAATAAAAGAACTGAAAACGGAAGTCGCATACCTGCAATGTCCGGCGTTGCTCGCATCTCCAAAGTAGCCATCTGAAAAGCCCTGCCTCCTACCGCAGGCGCCTCCGCACGGCCCTGACGGCCGTCTGTGATCCTCAAAGTTGCAGGGGCGGGTGCCATCACCCGTCCTGCTGAAAACAAACTAGGGCACTGGGCCTTCTTGTGGCCCCGCTGATTGCAGTGAAAACATATCAAGTCTGATCCCTGGTGATGGTAGCAGTACAATCTCTGCTAAAATGACCCGTCCGACCGCACCTGAAACAGCCAGACTCACCACCACTACCACTCCTGCACGCGCCCCCGTGCGTCCTGCCACACCTTCCGCATCGACTGCGGTCCTGATAATCCCTCGACTTGAATCCGTTCCCTTGGGCCTTTTTCCCGAACTCGCGGCTACCTGAACCTCATCCGGCTTCCTCTTCCGGATCTGCTCCAAATCAATTTCCCTCTCCCTGGCCCGAGAAATCATATCCTCCAGAGTCTTACATCCGGACCTGCTCACGAACTCCCTGATGTCATCCCTCAGCATCTCGTGATATCGTGCCTTCTTCATCTCCTCATCCGCGACATACTGCGGAACAAGAAGGGCTCTCTCTCTGAACTTGGCGGTGATCTCCGCCACAGTCTCAGTAGTCTGCGTCAAATCCTGAAACTCCCGGGCCAACTGTTGCACCTCAATAATCGGCGAAAACTCCGCTCTAAACCTCGCTGAGAAATCACTCCAAGTCATCGCGTCCAACGCGCATCATCCCCAAAGCGTGACCAATCTCCTCCCACCAATCCCTCGCTCTGTCCTTCAGAAGACAGGAAGCGAGTCTGACCTTGTCCTCCTCAGGACACCGGCTCGTACGGAATGCGTTGGCAACATCAGCCAACCATCTGCTGCTAGCGATGGGGTCCCTAGCCCCATGATAATCTGGTGCCCCGCAAGCCCTGAACTCCCGAAATGTCAAGGTACGCGCTCCCAACAAAGCCATCATCTCAGTACGGAAGGCTCCCAGCCTCTCATCCAAAATCTCCAATATACCCTCCTTGACCGTGCCAAAGATCACAGGAGTCTGAGCTAGAATACTGCGCGTAACCTCCGCTGATATCAACTCCCTCATCCGCTCCTCGAGCTGCTCGGCCCCTAAACCCGAGCCTAATCCCTCTCCGGCGCCTGATCCCCCGCTGGTCCCTCTTGCAATGTCACCATACTGAAACATACAACATAACCACTATCAGAATACTCCTCACTGCTGCGAGACCAAACATACTCACTACCAGGTTCCCGGTCTTGTCTCGCCTTCCCTGAATCGAGTACGGATCCTCTGCTTTCAGTAGTACGGGCCCATACTACCTTCCACATCTATCCGTACTTTCCTCAGGAACTGCTTTGACTCCACCAGGTCCCTTTTCTACTTCTACTGCTCCCAGCACTACCTCATCCTAGGCTTACCCTAGGGAAACCTTTGACTCAACTCAACCAGTCCTCAGCTGCTGAAGGCCTCCTCGCAATGCCAATTAGCCATCACCTGGATACCATCACATGTGACGAGGCTCAGATAATCCTTCAAGTAAAAGACTCGTTCCTACAACGGTTGGACTCAAACAAGAGCTGCGCAATAGGACCAAATCCAACACTCTGAGATTATTCAACCCTGATCACATGTGACGTGACGTATCCACCTAATGGCTAACTCCCATCACTTAGAATCCCACAATGCACAAAGCAAGCAACATTCAGACAAGGGAAAATCTAACCATAACATACTCAAGCAATCATATCCACATAGCAAGAATCTGAACTAGCATGCAACACAACTCATAACTCAGGCATAACCTCATCAGGCTATCCTACTACTGACTATTCAGCACTATCATGCAGATCAAAAGCACATATAACAGGCACATAAGGCATCCTCCCTAGATCCTTAATCTAGCATGCTGCTCTATTAACTGATAGTCAAAACATAAACTTGTATGGGTATTTTGGGGTACTTACTTGAGCTCGGTTGATTGCATGCATCACACCTCTTTTCTCTTTTCAAGTTCTTTTCTTTCTGAATTCTTTTTACTTTTATAAATTCCGTTTTCTTTCTCAAAACTCTCTTTACAAAACTATCTTTTCGCTTTTGAAAACTTTTTATCCGACCCCTCAGTTTGAGTTCAGGCACACCCGAGAGTATGCCCGAATCCCTCAAACCAAGGCTCTGATACCAACTTGTAACGACCCAAAATTTAAGACCAAAAATTTCTTTAATAAATCATTAATTAAAGTAACATCATCATTCCAAAACATAATATGAGTATAAGTTTTCAAAACATATGTTCGTTATCAGAGTAAACATTCCCAGGCTGTCTAATCTATGGTGTGTGCCATGCGATCACCCCGAGCTCTTTCCTCCGCTACCGGAAGTACCTGAAACCAAAACTGAAAACCGTAAGCACGAAGCTTAGTGAGTTCCCCACCCTACCACATACCATGCATAACCACATACTGCACATACTGGGCCACGCCCCCTATCTTGGGCCTCGCCCC